CAGCTACTCGGGAGGCTGAGGCAGGAGAATCACTTGAACCTGGGAGGCAGAGGTGGTAGTGAGTCTAGGTCGCGGCACTGCACTCCAGCATGGCGACAGAGTGAGACTTCATTTCAAACCAAACCAAACCAAACCAAAAAAAGATTTGTGAAAGGTCCCTCCACATCTAGGGTGCAGGCTGAGCAAAAAACAAGGATCTGAAAGTATGGTGTTTGAGCAGTAGAAAACATGTTGTTCGGCTGGAACAAAAGGCTATAAGGGGAAATGGTGTTTGAGAGACATTAAAAGGCATGTTGATACCAGATTGTGAAGCACCATGCATAGCAAATTAAGGAGTTTGCGCTTCATTCTGTTATGAATGGGATTTTTTTTTCTTCAGGTAGCAGATTTGAAAATGAAGGTGATGGCAGTGTGTGTATGGTATACTGAAAACAGGTAAAAGGGCTAGAATCAGACAATTGTTTTGAGCTTTTGTAATAATTTAGTCTAGAAGAAATGAGAACTGTGGGAGTAAAAGCATATATGGGAGGATACATGTAAGCAATGTTCCAAGGACGTATTTTAAATTGTCTGTACTTTATGTCCTCATAAAATGTTTTATCATTTTCTTTGCTATTGTATGAAATATCATTTTATGAGAGACAATGACTTTGTCATCAAACTGATACCAGGGGAAAACCTGAAAAACTCCTGTGAATTTTCAGTTTTCACAAATATGTGAAACTTAAGTAACACACTCCTGAACACGAAAAAAAAAGAGAGAAATTAAAAATATCTTGAGACAAAAATAGCATATAATAAATGTATGAGATGCAGTAAAAGTAGTTCAAAGAGGGAAGTTTATTATGATAAATGCCTATATAAGAAATAAAAAAAAAATCTTAAATAAACAACCTAACTTTATACCTCAAGGAACTAGAAAAAAGGAATACACTAAGCCCTAAGTTAGCAGAAGGAAGGAAATAATAAAGATCAGAGCAGAAGTAAATGAAATTGAGACAAGAAAAAATGAAACTAAAACTGTTTTGAAAGGTAGAATTGACAAACCATTAGCTAACTGCAGAAAAAAAGAGAGAAAAGTTTTGATTTTCATTTCAAAATCAGAAATGAAAAAGAAAACATGACAGCTGATACCACAGAAATCTAAAAGCTTATAAGAGACTACTATGAACAGTTATATGTCAATAATTGAATAATCTAGAAGAAATGAATTCATTACTAGAAATGTACAACCTACCAGGACTGAATCATGAATAGAAAATCTGAACAGAACAATTAAGTATGAAGATTAAGTCATTAATCAAAATCCTTCCATCCATGGAAACACCAGGACCTGATGGCTTCACTGGAGAATTCTACCAAACATTAAAGAAGAATTAACACAAGTTCTTCTCAAACTTTCCCCAAAAATTGAAGGAGAGGGGTAATACTTCCAAACTCATTTTATGAGGCCAGCACTGCCCTCAAACCAAAGCCAGACTGGAACACTGAAAGAATAGGATATTATAGACCAATATTCCTGGTGAACAGATGCAAAATCTTATATAAAATCTAGCAAAATGAATTCAACAGTACATTAAAAGGATCATACAGCATGATCAAGTGGGATTTATCTCTGGGATGCAAAGATTGTACACACACAAATTGGTAAATAAGACAACACATTAGCAGGATGCAGGATAAAAATTAGGTGATCATTTCAACAGATGCAGAAGCAGCATTTGATAAAATTCAATATCCTTTTATGGTAATAATTATCAACAAAGATGGATAGAAAGAATGTACCTCAACATAATAAATGCTACATATGTCAAGCCCACAGCTAATATCATATTCAATAATGAAAAGTTGAAAGCTTTTCCTCTAAGATTGGGAACAAGACAAAGATATTCAGTCTCACCACTTCTAATAACATAGTACTGGGAATCCTAGCCAGAGCAATTAGTCAAGAAGAAATAAAAAGCTTCCAAATCTTAAAGGAAGAAGTAAAATTGTCCTAGTTTTCTGAAGACGTGATCTCATACACAGAAAATCCTAAAGACTGCAGAAAAAACTTTTAGAACTAATAAATATAGTAAAGTTACAGAATACAAAACCAACATATAAATATCCATAGCATTTCTATGTAATAACAACTAACATTCTGAAAAAGGTATCAATAAAACAATTCCGTTTCAAGGCTGATTAAAAACACGTAGGATTATATTTAACCAAGGAAGCAAAATATCTATACACTGAAAACTATAAGATGATGGCAAAAAAAAAAATTCAATGAGAAACAAATAAATGGAACAGTACTCTGTGTTCTTGGATTTGAATAATTATTATTGGTAAAATATCCATGCTACCAAAGTCATCTACAGATTTGGTACAATTGCTATCAAAACTCCAATGACACTTATCAAATAAATAAAAAAACACACTCTAAAATATGTATAGAACCACAAAAACTCTGAGTGACCAAAGCAGTTTTGAGAAGGAAAAACAAAGTTGGAGGGATCACATTATCTGATCCCAAAATATCCTACAAGACTATAGTAATCAAAACAGCATGGTGTTGGAATAAAATTATACCTATAAATTAATGGAAAAGAATAGTCAGCCTAGAAATAAATTCATGGATTTAAGGTCAATTAATCTTTAACAAAGATCCCAAGAACACTCTATGGGGAAAAAGCGGTCTCTTCAACAAATGGCAGTGTGTTATTAAATATCCAGAAGAAGTATAAAATTGGACCCTCATCTCACATTGTACATAAAAATCAACTCAAAATGGATTACAGACTTAAATATGAAATCTGAAACTTTAAAATGACTAGAAGAAAACATATGGGAACACTCCAACATTTGATTAGGCACAGATTTTTTTTGGATGTGAACCCAAAAGAACAGGCAACAAAAGCAAAAATAAACAAATGAGATGGCATCAAATTAAATCCCTGCACAGCAAAGGAAATAATAAAGAGAGTGAGGAAACATCCTAAAAAATGAGAGAAAATATTTGTAAACTGTACCTCTGAGAGCCATCTATGTTTTTACTTATTTTAATCAAGTAAGTGAAGCAATCATCCTATATCATTCTATATGCCAAAGTCACTTTCAAATGGAGCCATGTTGACTCTTCTGTAAGCCACAGCAGGGCCAATACATCTGATAAGGGATTAATCTCCAAAATATATAAGGAATTCGAACAACTCAATAGCAAGAAAACAAACTACCCAATTTAAAATGTACAGCTGGGTGTAATGGTGCATGCCTGTAATCCCAACTATTCGAGAGGCTGAAGTAGGAGGATTGCTTGAACTCAGGAGTTTGAGGCCAAGCTGGGCAACATAGGTTTTACCCCTAAAACAATAAAAAATTAAGAAATTTTAAAAATGAGCAAAGAAATAGAATAGACATTTCTCTAAAGAAGACATATACATGGCCAGTAGGTATATAAAAATGCTATCAATCATCATCAGGTAAATGAAAACCAAAACCACCCCATGAGATATCATCTCACACCTGTAAGAATGACTGTTATCAAAAAGACAAAAGTATTGGTGAGGATATGGAGAAAAGAAAACCCTTGTACACTGTTAGTGGGAATGTTAATTATTTCAGCCATTATAGAAAACTTTATAGAGATTCTCCCCGAAATAATACATGGAACTACCATTCCAGCAGTATCATTACTGGCCATATGGGCAAAGAAAGTGAAATGAGGTATGTCAATGAGGTATTTGTATTCCCATGTTCATTACAGCATTATTAAGAATAGCCAGAACATGGAATTAACTTGTGTCCCTTGATAGATGAGTGATTAAAAAATGTTATACATATCTAAACCAATATCTATCATCTGTCCGTCTACACACACACACACACACACACACACTCACACACTCACACATGCACCAGAATATTATTCAGCCTCAAAAACAGAAGGAACATTCTGTCATTTGTGATAGCAGAGATGAACCTGAAAGGCATTATGCTAAGTGAAATAAGTAAGGCACAGAGAGGCAAGTGCAATATGATCTCACTTATATGTGGAGTCTAAAAATCCTGAACTGATGAGTAGAACAGGGGGTGCCAGGGCCTGTGAGGTGGGAGAAATGGGGATATGTTGGTCAAAGGATAGAACTTCTTCAGGATAAATAAGTCCTGGAGATCCAATGTACAACATACTGACTGTAGTTAGTAATACTGTCTTCTTTGCTCAAAATTTGCTCAGAGTAGATGTTCTCACCCTTCCAACACACAATGATAACTATGTAAAGTTATGAATATATTAATTAGTTTGTGGTAATTATTGCACAATGTATACATAAGCATTGATAATTATGCTTACAATGTTTATTTGCCAATTTACCTGAATAAAACAGGAATAATAATAAAGATTAATAGTTTTAATTGTATGTACAATAAGATTACAATAGTAGTAATAGTAGTAGAAGTAGCAGTAGTAGTAAAAGTAGTAATAGTTTACATTTATCGAATTCTTTCTTTATGCCATTCACTAAGTTCTTTATATGTAATCACTCATTGAATCCTCATTTCAAGCCAAAGAAAAAATTACCCAAATAAACAGAAGTAGAAAGAGGTTGGAAATACCAGCACACAGATGATTTATCTTAAGTTATTGTAGGAATAAGACCATTTAAAAATTATTCCTGTTTATTTTTATGAAGCTCTTTGTGTGCTGATTATATATATATATTAAACTCAATGCATTTAAAAATATATTAATTAATGTGTTTGAACATTTTTTGGCTGAAAAAGTTTTATACAACTTGAAATATGAAATACTACTACTCAATGAATACTCAGTCCTAAGGGTGCATTTTCTATTATGAGGAACATGGCTTTTCTGCTTAAAGATAGTGTTGTACCCATGTCACACCAACTATTGAAGTGATCATTCCTACAGACATCTGTACCAACAAACATTAAGTATATTTCAGACTGCTGTTTTGAGCTTTCCATCTTTTTTTTCTTTTTCTTCATTTACCTAGGTTTGAACGAGAGAGGAAGAAGCACATTTCCAGTCATTGGGGGAACCTGAGGTCATTCTCTCCAACCCATTTTGCCAAATGGATATCCTGAGGAAGGTGTTCCAAGAGAGGTAATGTCAGGATAGTCTGTGTCTGGAGGCTGCCCAAGGCACATGGGAGAGTGCGGAAGAACTGGAAAGACTTTCGTGTTGCCGATGTTAAGTTATTTAGGTATCTCTGTAGAAACTCGGTGGGTCATTCCTTGTCTTCACAAACTTGGTGGGTCATTCCTTCTCTTCACAATTCCTTTCTTAGATTTATGATAAATGTGAAAGGTAATCCAAACAAAAGTAGGGCAAAATGGGAAAATAAATTCCCATTTTAACTTTTTCTGGATTATTTCAAGCTCTACTGGGGAAAATGTGATGAAAATTTTAAAAAATATATAAAACATTGCAGATCATCAGTATTTAAAAGCAAATGCTTTCTGAAAATTATAGTTTGTATGATAATATGATTTGTTGAAATCTGTTTTTTTAATTTAATAAATTTGGCTTGTTAGAATTGAGCTCAGCTGAAGTACCATGACAATTTACTTAGATGATAAGCTACTGTTTCCTCTGAAGAAAAGAAAAATGTAGATATTCCAGCTGTATAAGATAAATTTTTGTCAGTGGGATTTCTTTGACAAATTAAAGAACACCTATAAGATAATTTTTTTTATCTTACACTTAATTATGATTTTTATTCTTATAATTTAGTTTATGAAATATCAGATTGATTTTGCTGGGAAGGAGTAGTTTTGCCTGTTCTGAAAAACAGCCCTTGGATTTTTGGCATATTCTTATCTGATGGGATAGGTTTCTTTTATTTCATATCAATACATGTGTGTAGTGTGTGTGTGTGTGTGTGTGTGTGTGTGTGTATAGTGTCTTTCCTTTCTAATTCATTCACCTACCATATTTTTTCTCTTCAGAGTAAAAGAAGTTTGTCTGGGGCTTTTGTTGGGTACAACTAGATTGCTTGTTTTGAAATTATTCTTCTTTAGTAATGGGTGTGGGTTTTCTCCTTTGTTTTCTTTTTCTTAATATTACAAATTCACATTTGTCTCCTGATTCTTCAGCACTGTTTGGAAAATCAAGGAAGTAGCTCTGGAATTTATTTTATTCATTGATCTTAGAAATTAAGGTAACTTAGAACTAGGGCTTTTAGAAACAGAATGAAACAGCCTGTGCTCTTATTGGGTCACAGGGCCCTCAGGAGACATGCAGGGAAAATGGAAGCTCAGAGATGCTGGGTGTGATTTTTCTGAGCTCACACTGCTGTTTAGTGAGAGATATTGCCCGAAAGCTGCATTTGCCAGCCAAGTGTATATGTATGAGGTGACACTTGTCAAGTTTTCATAAAAAAGAATGCAAAAATTCTTCAAACATTAATTACTACTAATTTCAATCATAGGTTTTAGAGGGAATTCACAGAAAGTGAATGCAGAAACTTTATAGTTACTATACATAAAACTAAAATTGTAGTAGATTAATGTGTAACTGAGAAGGCTGATTCATCTACTAAATTACTTATCCCTTAGAATAAAAGCCTGTTATTTCTTGAGTGTTTTTAGTAAATGGAAAACTAGACCAGCATAGACCTATGTTAGTAAATGTCTGTATCTGTTAATTTTTATCTTCTCTTCCTCAGGGTAAGCCATCAAACCTGCTAGTATATAGCAGGATGCACTAATATGTTTGACTTCCTGCCTCTATGTAGTAGGATTTAAAAAAAGATCAAAATAAAAGAAACTTGCAAATTGTATGGATGTCTAAGTGCAAGGTGTATGTCAAACCATTTATATGGCAATTAAGTTCTAGTTACTCAGCTGATACTTTCTATACATTATCTTAATCCTCTAGAAAACCCTCTAAGACCAGTGCTATCACTTCCATTATACAGATGACCTTGAGCCTGGATAGGGGAAGTAACAGATGTGAATGCAAAGGAAATAGGAATTTTGACATACCACCCCATCATGGAAAATTTATGGATGAATAATTTTCTAAGCAATGTGTTCAATTTACAAAAAAATGTACTATTAAAATTGGTAGCTAAATCTCAAGATTGTTGGGTGTTAGCTAACCTCACCATCTGACATTTCGGCTTTAGAGAGAGGACAAGAAGTTTTGTAGACATTACACCATGGAGGCTTAACTATATTGTTGTTATTTTATATTTCAACCTTTAAAGAATAAAATCAATTAATTTTTACGTGGTAAGGTGGAGGTTGACTAGACAATATTTGTACTGCCTGCACTTTAACATCACTTGAATACATACATATTCTACTCAAGATACCTGCTATCCAAAGCCCTTCAACTTGAAGTCTTTTTAAAATTGTAAAATGGTTATTATTATTACTTTTAAACTTGGTTTAATAAGTGACTGAGATACTTAACAATTTGTGAATATATTCTCATGTGAATAATGAATTCTATAAAGCAATTAGAGGCCAGGTACAGTGGCCTGTAATCCCAGAACTTTGGGAGGCCAGAGCAGAAGGAATGTTTGAGGCCAGGAGTTTGAGACTGGTTGGGAAACATAGTGAGACCCCCTATCTACCAAAAAAAATTAGGCAGGCATGGTGGTGCATACCTGTACTCTGAGTTACTTGGGAGGTTAAGACAGGAGGATCATTTGAACCCAGGGGTTCGAGGTTACAGTGAGCTACACTGCATTCCAGCCTAGATGACAGAGCAACAATAACAACAAAATAACAACAAAACAACAGCAATAACGACAAAAACAATGCCATTAGAAAAACCAGTCCATTCTCTAAAGTAGGTTTACAAGTTTGGCTATCTTGCTTAAAGCATTAAATTTCATGCAAACACTTCATTTGTAAATTATACTAAGGGAAACTTTAGATTCACTTCAGTGGAATCACCATGTTCTGACTGGAGCTCAAATTATCATGGCTTTGTTTTCTGATGTCATACAAAGTACTGGGTTTAGACTTCAGGAAAATTTCTAAATTATTTGAACTAGAACATATGTTCATTATGTGAAACCTTACGTTTTTAATCAAATCCATACCTGTAATATACCTTCTTGAGCTTCACGAAGGGAACAAAACAATTGAAAATGTGCCCAGTGATTTTAATTGGTCTGTATTTTAAAGAGGCATGTTATAGTCAGCTTTTTGAGCTTAACAAAGGGCCAGGGTATCATAGGCAGTTACCATTCTTGGGATGAGTTGTGGATTATTCAGGGGACATTTTGAAAATTCATCCAGAACCCTCCTTCGCCCATCCCCAGTCTCTTTCTAGATAACATTCTCTCTGTCTCCTCTGTATACTTTCTGGCTTAGTTTAGGGATTGTAAAGTAATTTGACTATCAGACTAAACCAAACATAATTGGGAGAGAGAAGCTGCCAAGAAGCAATCAGATTCACTGCATTCCAAAAGCAAGCCTATTCCAAATGCCTGATGGACCATCCCCAGCACAGTCCACATGGCTGTTAACTACATGTGACTGGAGTTCTAATTGGATGCTCCCTACCACCTCAGTACACAGACTTCAATTCACAAACCCTTCCAATAGGAGAAAAGGAAGTTGAGCTCAATCATACCTGTTCTCAGATATGCTTCACACATCAAACCACACAAAACTCACCAAGTAAAGAAACTGTCAGCTTTGGTCCGTGGGTCCTTTGGAGAGAGAGCCTGTCACATCCCAGGATTGATCTGCCCCCAGTTTCCAGTCTGATGTGGTACTTTTTCTTGGAAGCCTTTTTGCTCCTGGCAGTTTCACTGTGGCCCTGCCCCCAGACACAGCTGAGGTTTGCAAATAAGGACGGATGTCTCAATCTGAAGGTGTAGCAACTACTGAAGGGAGCTTGGAGGTTTTTTTGTCATTGTTTTTTGTGCTGTTTGTTGTTGTTGTTGCTGCTGCTGTTTTAAAGAAAAGAGCCTTTATGGCCTGGAGGGAAAGGAGTTACTGAGAAAAAATATTAAGACTACTGCTGGTTCCCAAAACCACAAAACCCCAGGACTCAATGCAAAGCATTGCTTCAGTTTAGAATCTTTCTTGTTAGAAGGAAAAGCAGTTCTCACCTGTCTTATCTTCTATTTCTGGACCAGCAGTGGCAATATTAGCAAGTGAACAAGCAGTTCACTTCTTTCCCACCTGTTCAGTATGACAACTTGTTTATTGCACAACTCACTTAGGGCAGAGGCATTGAGATGTGCATTTAACAGGGAGGAGCTACCAGCTCTCACCCCAGCGGAAGTGAAGTGGTAGCTACTTGTCAACAGGGTATTACAATATGAGCCTCTTTAAAGGGAGTTTGAATAGTTATAAGGAACTGGTAGAAGGACTGGGATTGGTTCCCTAAGCCTGATGCCCTCCTTTCCCTGCAGTTTCAGCTAGAATACACAGTAGTTTCCAGAGAGCTTGGGGCTTTTTTGAAGGTACCTGGTTGCCCAGTGATTTGACTCACAGCACACAGCCCTTAGGGCAACAAAAGGGAAAGGCCAGAGTAGGCAGCATACCAGGATTCAGAGCCTGACTGCCACATATACGCTTGGAGAGAGCCCAGTTCAGAGGGAGGGCTTGTTGGACTGGTCTCAGGTCCTAGGTCTTAACAGTCTAGATTACATTAAAAGAAAGTCTGCAGGTGGAAACTAAGGTCCAGGAGAGAGATGAATGAGTCCTCTGCCCTCCTTCCACCTAACACCCCTTTCCTAGGAAGATGTAAAAGCAGCCTGCAACTTGTTGCTTCTTGCCCAAAGGGCTTACAGGGCTGTAAATGAGACTCAGTCCAAAAAGAACAAGAGCTAACCACAGAGAGAGAAAATGCAGCCCAACTGTCTGGTGGACTCCTTTATGGGAAATCTCCCCTTCCAGAATGGCAGCATCTCCTCCCTAAATGATGCTCTGTCAGGTCCTTTAACAATAAAATTTAAACTGTGTCCCTGCATCTGAAAAGAGGAGCCTCTTTTCCACTTTCCTCCTTTCTTCCCCCAAGTCTCCAGGTCAAATTACTGACACCCACTGTCCAGTGAAAACAATAGCAGGTTTTTTTTTCCATGTATGAGAGGAGGGTGTATATATGTGGGGTGCCGTCATATATGTGACCAGCATCTTAAACTTACAG